GATCACGACCTAGCTAGATCACGACTTTGTTGATTGCTTGAGTTACACACTAATCAAGAGAAAGGTTTTGATTCCTCTTCTTATTTTTTCTTTTATTCTCTTTGATTTTTGATTTCTTTATGGCCTCTGTTTCATATTTTTTTATTGTTTTCGTAACACTTTGTTCAATACTTTTTGGTACACATACTTTGATTGATTATTATGGCTTCTCAAAATAATGATATTGGTAGTACTAGTGGATCGGCAAATTTATCTCAAAGTGCTGAACCTCAACCTCCTTTGTGGAAGTATGTGACTAAACTAGTAAAACAAGGAACAGTCGGAGGAACTTGGAACTTTCGCTGCAATTTTTGTAATGACGTCCGAAACGGTTCTTATTCAAGAGTCAGAGCACATCTGCTTGGAATACCAAATAAAGGAATTGCAGTTTGCAAAAAAGTGAATGCGAGTGACAAAGCTGAGATGACAGACTTGGATAAGGAGTATGAGAACAAGAAACTTGAGCCTGGAGATAAAGAAATTCCTTTGCCTTGTGAAACTTCAAAGAAAAGAAGAACGTCATGCATGTCACCTCTTACGAGAGCTTTTGGTGTTGAAATTAGGGATCAATTAGATCAAGAGATTGCCAAGATGTTTTACACGGGAGGCGTGCCATTTAATCTTGCTAGGAATCCGCATTACCATAGGTCATATCAGTTTGCTGCTATGTATAAAATTGATGGCTATGTACCTCCTGGATATAATAAGCTCAGAACCACCCTACTTCAACAAGAGAAAAACCATGTTGAGAAGAAGTTAGAGCCAATTAGGGGAACATGGAAAGAAAAAGGGGTGACGATTGTCACAGACGGTTGGAGTGATCCTTTAATAAAGCCCCTGATCGATTTTATGGCTACTTCTGGAAGTGGTCCTTTGTTTTTGGACGCTGGGAATTGTTTTGGTGAATTAAAAGACAAGTTCTTTATTGCTAATTTGATGAAAAAAGCTATCAATCAAGTCGGTCATCAAAATGTTGTGCAGATAATTACTGATAATGCACCAAATTGCAAAGCGGCTGGAGAGCATATCGAGAGTTTGTTTCCTCACATCTTTTGGACTCCATGTGTTGTTCATACGCTTAACCTTGCATTGAAGAACATTTGTGCAGCAAAGAATACAAGCGGGAATCAGGAAACATATGATAAGTGTAGTTGGATAACTATAGTTCATGCAGATGCTTTGGCGATCAAGAATTTCATCATGAACCACAACATGAGGCTAGCAATGTTTAACAAGTTTTGTGCTTTGAAGTTGCTTTCAATTGCTGAAACTCGTTTTGCCTCAACCATTGTGATGCTTAAGAGATTGAAGCTCATCAGGAGGGGTCTTCAAGCCATGGTCATTAGTGAAGACTGGTCTACTTACAGAGAGGATGACCTGGGAAAAGCAAGATTTGTTAAGGATACAATTCTGAATGATGATTGGTGGGATAAGGTGGGTTATATTATTGATTTCACAAGGCCTATATATGAGATGATAAGGGTTTGTGACACNGACAAACCATGTCTTCACTTGGTTTATGAAATGTGGGATTCAATGATTGAGACAGTAAAATTTAAGGTCTACAAAAAGGAAAAACGACCAATGTCTGAAGATAGCTCATTCTATGATGTCGTCTACAAGATTTTAGTGGCTTGTTGGGCGAAAAATAACACTCCTTTACATTGCATAGCTCACTCTCTAAATCCAAGGTATATGGGTTTTAACTTATGTTTATTCTATTATTTTATTTCCTTCACACATGTATCTAATATTTTTATATGTTGTAGATTTTATAGTGATCAATGGCTAAATGAGAATAGCGAAAGAATCGGTCCACATAAGGATGTGGAAATCTCGCGTGAAAGGATAAAGGGTTTCCGGATGTTGTTTCTCAATGATGATGATTATCGTAGAGTTTTGGATGAATATGCATCATTTTCAATGAAGATGGGTCTTTTTGAGGATTTATCATGCCTTGAAATGATGTCTACAATGGAACCTAAGAATTGGTGGCTTAACTATGGTGCTCCATCATCTTTGGTAAAGTCTCCACCACCACCTTAGTACCTTTCCTTCAACTTCCCACAACATGCCGTTTTGGTTTCCTTGTAAGTAAATGAATCAGAGAGAAGCTCATGACCTATTTGATACAAAAAGATAAATACATAGATTAGCTTATGACCCAAGCAAACACAGAATCAATATATAAAGTGACTATGATTAGGGTTTGATGATGGGATCACAATACTCAGAAGTAAATCCAAGAGAACAAACACAAAAAATCATTAGCACTGATACTAAAACAAAAACTAACGTCGTTTATGAATTAAAAACACATACACAAAACAGAACAATAATGTTTATGAGCCCACCGATCGATCAAAGATTTGAACCTTGGTCAGTGATTCAAATGAATTCAAGACCAATAATTCTTGCATTACCTCAGATTTGAAAACGATTTAAGCCAACAGCTGTCAGCGCATGAGCACGTGCTTTCTTCTTCTCAGCTCAAGCAATCCAAGCCGTTTCTTCTCCGCGGCTACACGTTTCTGATTAATCAAAGTACAAACTCTTTCCTTGTACTTGCTCTCTCTAGCCATCATCGCCGAGACGTTCTCTCTTTCATCGAAGCTCTCTTTTGATGAGAAGCCTTTAAAATCCTCATTCTATTAGCTTCAGCTTTCTTCACACGAGACTCCACTTTACTACAGAGTTTCACTCTTTCCCTCTCCGACCGTATCACAACACTTGTCTTAGCTGCTTGTCTTAACTCATACAACTTCGCTAAACGCATCTGCGCTTTAGCAAGAATCTCCAACCTACAACAACAATTTCAACAATTAAAACCAATATCTAGAGAGAAAAAACAGAGAGATCATCGAAAAAAAGATTATGTTTTTTGTTCAGCAGCAAGAAGCCTTGCCTCAATTCGTTGTCCAAGCTCTTCATCAGACGATCGTGATGGGCTTCTAGGTTTCGGTCGAGCCTTCCTCGAAACATTATGATAAAATTGCTGGAAAAAAAATCAGATTTGTAAAGAAATGACAAATTACGATTAGTCTTACAACCATTCATCATAGTTCCAGGAAGAGTTACCTTCTTCCTCCTCGAATTCTTACTTTTACTTTATTCTTAAAAAAAAATCATACTACATAAACAAAACTGAGTTAGGAAGCAACATAACTCTTTTCTTCGAGAGCCTTACGGAGAACTTTGACCGCATGCGAATATCAAACCTAGAAACCTTTGACCGAACACAAAAGAGAGACGAACCATGTATATACATCTGTATATATAGAAAGTATTTAGGGTTTTAATTATATGGGCCAGCAGAAACAAACACGATTTTGAGCCCACCGATTCCACATGTTTATAAGCCTACCGATTTTCTAGATACTCAATGGCATTCCACCGTAATTTTGAGATTCATTAAGGGTATTTTCGGCAAAGCAAGTCTTAAACTCGCTCTCGAGACGCCACATAGGATTTGCGACTTCTCATTTATAAGTATAGATTGCTCTACTATGATACTACGTCGTTTAGTTATGGTCTTTAATATTTATACTAGCTGTAATTGTGAGTTCGATCTATCGAATCATTTTATCAAGTAGGATGAAAATCCAAAGGTT